CATGAAGTTGAATCCAGCAAAGTGCACCTTCGGCGTTGAATCAGGCAAGTTTCTGGGTTTCATGGTTTCCAGAAGGGGGATAGAGGTCAACCCTGAGAAGATAAAGGCAATTGAGGAAATGAAACCGCCGAGGTCAACCAAGGACGTGCAACGCCTGGCAGGGAGAGTAGCAGCACTGCACAGATTTATCTCCAAATCAGCAGATAAGTGTTTGCCTTTCTTTAAGGTCTTGAGAACTGCAGCTCAGAAGAATGAAACGGGAAAACCCCAGAAGTTCAACTGGACGACGGAGTGCCAGGTAGCTTTCGACGAGCTCAAAGCCTACCTCGGCTCGCCTCCTCTGCTGACTAAGGCTCAAGAAGGTGAAATCCTTTATCTCTACCTCGGGATATCTGATACTGTTGTCAGTTCTGTCTTGGTCAAGGAAACGGGGAAACAACAGCAACCAGTATACTATGCCAGTAAGGTGCTGCAGGGGGCTGAGCAGAGGTACTCGATAGCAGAGAAGGCGGCCCTAACAGTTGTTGTTACTGCAAGGAAGTTGAGACCATATTTCCAATCCCATCCTATTATTGTGATGACTGATCAGCCTTTAAGACAAATTTTGCAGAAACCAGAATGCTCCGAGAGGCTCATCAAATGGGCAGTAGAGCTGGGAGAGTTTCAGATAGCATTCCAGCAGAGGTCGACAATCCGAGCCCAAGCCTTGGCAGATTTCGTGGTCGAATGCACTTCTAATCAGGTGGAGCCGAATTCTGAAGCAGAAACATGGACCCTGTATGTCGATGGATCATCTAATAACAAGGGTTCAGGAGCTGGAGCAGTGTTAACTGGACCTGACGGCTTCCAGAGTGAACACGCTTTGAAGTTCAACTTCCAGGCCACAAACAACGTGGCCGAGTATGAAGCCCTCCTCCTGGGACTACGTCTGGCGGCCGAGATCAAAGTCAAACGCCTGCAGATTTACAGTGACTCACAGCTGGTAGTTAACCAAATCAATTCTATGTGCGAAGTCATCGATCCCATCCTGGCAAGATATGTGGTCGCAGTCTCCGAGCTGAAAAACCGTTTCGAAAAATTCCAGCTTACCAAAATTCCGAGAGCAGAAAATGAGCATGCGGATTCCTTGTCGAAATTGGCATCTGAGAACTCTGGGGAAGCAAAGTCTGTGTACATCGAGATACTGAATGAACCAAGCTTTCAGACGTCGGGGGTAATGGAGATTAGCACTGACCTAGGTGCTCCGAGTTGGACAGACCCCATCCGGGAGTACCTCCTCAATGGCACCGTCCCGGGGGACAAACAGGAAGAGATGAAGTTACGAAGAAAAGCCTCTCGGTATACCCTGGTTGGCGACATCCTGTACAAGAGGTCCTACTCGTTACCACTCCTCAGATGCCTGACACCATATGAAGCAGAGTATGCACTAAGAGAAGTACACGAGGGGGTATGCAGTAATCACGTGGGAGCCCGGACTCTGGCACATAAGGTACTCCGGCAAGGGTACTATTGGCCTAACATGCAAGAAGATGCAAAGAAGTTCGTGCAGAGTTGTCAGAAATGCTAGTTCTTCGCCCATCTCACCCATCAGCCAGCTGAAGAACTCACCAGCCTGACTGCACCATGGCCCTTTGCTCAATGGGGAATAGACCTTCTGGGCCCCTTCGTCAAAGCAGTAGGAGGAGCAACGCATTTGGTGGTCGCTGTTGATTACTTTACCAAATGGGTAGAAGCCAGACCTCTCTCTTGTCTGACTTCGAGAAGAATTGAGGATTTCCTCTTCAGCTCGGTCATCTGCAGATATGGGATACCAAACCAGATCATCGCTGATAACGGCCCCCAGTTCAATTGTAACTCCTTCAGAGACTTCTGCTCCAGCTACGGGATTAAGTTGGTGTTCACCTCCGTCTATCATCCCGAGGCCAATGGAATGGTTGAATCAGTCAACAAAGCTATCTTGGAAGGAATCAAGCCGAGGTTAGATCAGCTGAAAACAAAGTGGGTAGATGAACTTAACAACGTCCTGTGGGCTTACCGGACAACAAGCCGAACTGCCACAGGTATGCTCCTCACATTGATTCTCTTTTACATTACTTTATTTATAGTTACAGACTACCCTTTAAAGTAAATCCTAAAATTAGTCTCCTGCAAATAGGCGAAACACCCTACCACTTAGCCTTCGGCACTGAGGCAGTCATTCCTGTCGAAATTGGTGTCCCGAGCCTAAGAATCAGCCACTTTGA